CGCCGCATCCAGCGCGGCCACCTGGGCTCATTTGCATACAGACCCCGCCCCTTTTAGGGTGCATTTGCATACAAGCTCCGCCCATGTGTCCTTATTTGCATACCGCACGTCTATTCGCCTTCCGACACCTAATCTGCATACAAGCCCCGCCTCCTCGTCCTCATTTGCATCCAGGGCGGCGGCCCCGCCTCCTGCGCCTCGTTCTGAGCCAGGCCCCGCCCCCTCGACGGGGCGTCCCGTCCCCCCCCCCCCACGCGTGTCCCCCGCGACCCCCGGGGCTTTCCCGGGACCCCCGGGGCCTTCCCCGCGACCCCCGGGCCGCCCCCGCGCCCGTCCCCGCCGCACCTGGGGGCCCTGGGCGGCGCCGTCGGCGCAGACGAACTGGACGAAGTCCTTGAGCGAGTCCTGCCCGTGGTGGTAGCGGATGGTGGGGTGGGCGAAGTAGGGGCTCGACTGGGGCAGGAGGGACCCCGACGGGAAGTGCAGCGCCGAGGCCGTGGCCCGCGGGCTGCCTGCAGGGACCCTCAGCGCCAGCGCCGGCGGCCACGGGACCCCCGGCGGGAACCCCCCCCTCCCACACCTTTTTTTTTTTTTTTGGAGTTGGAGCGACCCCCGCCCACCCAAACCCAGGGATATCCCCCCCCCACACACAGACCGCGACCACCACCCCCTCCCCCGGCTCGCCCCGCTCTCGGGTCACCCAGTAGCCCCCCCCGGGGTGGGGTGGGGGGCTCGGGGGAAGGAGGTCCGGGGGTGTGGGGTCTCACCGGGGCGGACGCCGGCCAGGACGGGCAGGGGGTGGTGGCCGAAGGCCATGCGGGGAGCGGCCCCGTGCCCCGACAGGGCGCTGCAGAAATCCAACTTCCCCGACTTCTTCAGCGCCGCCGGGCCTGGGGGGGCCAGGGGGTCGGGGGGGGGGCAGCCGGACCCCAGCACCCCCACCCCCTTCCCCCCCCCACCCAAAACTTCTCCCCGTGCGCCCCCAGACCCTCCTTCCCCGCCCACAAAACGCCCCCTTGAATCCCCAGACCCTCCCGCTCCCCCCCCCCGTGTCCCCCTCCCTCCCAAAATTCTCTCCCAACGCCACATCCGTCCCCTCCGTGTCGCCCCTCCCGTGTCCCCGCAATGTCCCCAAGCCCCCCTCGTGTCTCACCCACCGGTGTCAACGTCCCCCCCCCAGGGTCCCTGGCTGCTGCCGGGGGCTGGGGACCGCCCCGGCCCGGGGTAGAAGACATCGTCCCCGGGACCCTCCAGGTCCCCCTCGTCCAGCGCTTTGGGGCGCTTCGGGCCACTGTGGGCGACACGGGTGTCACCTCCGGGCTCGGGAGTGTCACCCCAGCGAAGAGTCCGGGGGTCCCAGCCCCCTCCCCAAATACACCCAGGGGTCAAGAGGGGAGCTCGGGGGGCTCGGGTGTTTGTGGGATGCAAAGAGGAGACCCCAAATCCCAGGGGGTTTGGGGGTTTTGGGGGAGCCCTTGGATGGGGGAACACCCCAAAATGGGGGGGGGGATGGATGGGTGGGCGAGCCCGGGAAGGGTTTTGGGGGTCCGAGGGGCTTGTGAGGTAAAAGGGAGAACGGCCAGACCCCAAAGTTTGGGGCGTCCTGGGGATTTGGGGATCCCTTGAGGAGGGGAACACCCCAAAAATGGGGAAGAACCCCCAAAGAGGAGCCCTGGGAGGGGGGGGGGGGTCACAGGGGGATTGGGGGGTCCCCGTACCTGGCAGTGGGGGGCCCCAGGGGCCGGCGGCCGAGGGCGACGGGGCTGATGTTGTAGTAGCCCCCCGGGCTCTCCAGGTCGGCCAGCGAGAAGTTGGGGC